CTTATAAGAATTCCGGCAACGCAAATTAAATTCACACCGGTCACTTCTATTAAATTTTATAAGCAAAAAACAAAAACTCAATCTAAAGGACATAAATTAACAAAAAATACTTCACACCACCTTCCCGAACGTTTGGGGATTTTCACTAGGCTTACAATTTTAATCATATATAGTATCTCAGACTAAAGTTAGGAGAATATAATTTGTATTGTTGGAATCCTTGCAAGACAGTGAATAATATGAATATAAACGTCATATATTTTGCACAAAAATTAAAATTTTTGCTCACTCTAATAAAATTCTTAAATTAGATCTAAAATTCGTATGTCTAATGCAAATTAGAGCTTGTTTATATTCAAATTAATCACTATCTTATAAGAATTCCAGCAATGTAAATTATATTCTGGCCGGTTATTTATATACAGTAGTACCCCGCTTAACGCGGTCAATTGAACCCACAGGGTACCGTGTTTAGTGAAAACCGCACTAAGTGAACAACAGAACATATGGGATTAATTCCAATAGAGACTGGCCGGACCCCCAAACTCTACTTTTTCCGACACAATACCTATGTTCTAGTAAAAATAACATCTTAATTTTATGATGGTACATGCATACAATTAATACTTAAGAGAAATAGAGAAATACAGTCGCCAAGTTAATGTCCATTCAAATAATGGACTCAACTCCCTCCCCCTCTTCTCACACTACACTTGCTGGCTCTTCCCTCTCTGAGAAATTTTGGGGGGAAACCACTAAATTTTAATAAATAATACCTCAAACTAAAGTTAGGATAATATAATTGATATTGCTGGATTCCTTGTAAGACCAGGAATATTTTGAATATAAATGTCATATATTTTGCACAAAAGATAACATATTTACTCAGAGTAAACATTATATCTAAAATTTGTATGTCTAATGCAAAATCTATGATGTTTATATTCAAAATGATCATCAAATTGTAAGAATTCCAACAATGTAAATTAGATTCTGGTCGGGTAATTTGTATGAATTTTATGAGCTAAAACAGGCAGGCAGGCGGGTGGCGGGTGGGGCGAAATCTAAAAATAGCGTCTCCAGCCGGACACTCTGCGCGTATACAGTGGGGTATGCTATAACGAATCTATTTGGTTATAAAACCTCGTTCGTTATAGCATTCGTTCGTTATAGGGGTAATCCGTTCTAGGCCCCCGAATACAACCACTTAACAATGAGAAATATAATATAAAATTGTAAAAAAGTGCATAAATACCTGTAATAAAAAATAATAATTTAGTACAAAAAATTAGAAAAAATACTGTTCATTATAGGAGTTTCGTTCGGTATAGCATTCTCAATTTTATAGGTAAAACCGTTCGTTATAGGAATATTTGTAGTAGAATCCGTTCGTTATAGCATACCCCACTGTACGTGGAAAAAACCCGTGTTAAGTGAAAGTTCGGCTCTGGCGAGGCACCGCATATACGTGAAATCGCGCTAAGCGGGGTATTACTGTACAATTTTATGAGCAACAACATAAATAAATTAATTTAATATTTCACCAGACCTTCCCCCTAACTGTCAAAGTACAACTCAACTCCCCCCCGCTCCCCCCTCTTCGCACGCACGCTCGCTCGCTAGCTCGCTCCCTCCCTCCCTCCCTACCCCGGCCTTCCCAGACAAAAGTTTGGTGTTTTCATTAGGCTTAAAGTGTTTATCTTATGTAATATCTCAGACTAAAGTTAGGAGAATATAATTTGCATTGCGGGAATCGCTGCAAGACAGAATAATTTGAATATAAACGTCATATAATTTGCACAAGAGATAAAATTAATCACCTGTATTACATTACAGTAGAGATTTAAGAGTTCTAGTGTACTGTATATGTAAGTATATATATAGTGATTTAAGGGCAATTTAGGGGAATTTTAGGAATGTTTCTGACTTTATGCATTTTTGGCTTTACTTTGTATATACTTTAAAGTGAACTGGAACCAATTACCCAATATCCCATTGAAACAATGGTTTCGGTTAACGAAATTTTCGGTTAACATAAACGACTCTCTGGAACGAATTGAGTTCGTTAACCAAGGGACCACTGTATACAGTGTAACCCCGCTTTACGTGGTCAAATGAACCCACGGAGGCCCGCGTAAGGCGGGAAACGCGTAAGCTGAACAACAGAACATATGGGATTAATTGAAACAGAGACTGGGCCGACCCCCAAACTCCACTTTTTCCCGACACAATACGTACGTTTTAGTAAAAATAACATCTTAACTTTATGATGGTATGCACACACACATAATATAGAAGAGAAATATCAATAAGAGAATAATATACTGTACCAGGTAAAAGAAAAATTAAGGTTTAACACTTACGTCATGGTAGGTTAGGTTAGAAAAAATCAAGGTTTAACACTTACGTAAGGTTAGGTTATGTTTTAAAAAATCAAGGTTTAACACTTATGTAAGGTTAGGTTATGTTAGGAAAAATCAAGGTTAGGTTTAACACTTACATCAGTAGAAGAGATGGGTCGGCGTATGGGAATGGCGGCTGGTTCCGAGGCAATGGGCAGGCTACTGGCCCTCAGGTGAGTCACCATTACTGTCATCCACACTTGTCAGGGCCTCCCTGACAAATACCTCAAAGTCACCATCACTGACTCTGTATCTGTCACTATCACAGGCTTGGGCTGGCTGTGGTGGGTTGCGGGCGAAGGACTCGGTAATGCTTTGTTGACGGCTAGTGTTGATGTTGTCGTGATACACCTTGATGTAGGGCTCCATAGCCTGCAACAGCTGGGTTGTGAAGACTTCATTCCGGTTATCGTCAGGGTCGTCGGAAAGGAGGAGCTTCAGTTTCTCTACACACTCAATGGCACCCCTTACATTACCATGCGATAACTTGTGTTCTTCTCGGGATGACGCACCGCCTGCCTCTTCACTGACGTGATCGTCTTCTAACATCTCGTCGGCAGTCACATCAGGATCCCTTATCACCTCCATAATGTCGTCGTTGGTGGTCTCGGAGAAACCTGCAGCTGTAACACTCTGCGCAGCTTCTCTGGCAAGGTGTACTGCTACTGCAACAGTCTGAACCTCACCAGTCACAGGTTGACTCTGCCTCCCACCTGGGACACCTTGCAACACATGTCTCCATGCGTGACGAACCGTTGCTACAGACAGCTGATCCCATTCCTCCACCAAGAAGTCCACAGCTTTCTTGACGTTAAATTTCCTCCAAAAGTGTTTCACAAGAACTCCTTGCTCTGCCAACTGTTGTTCTTCGTCCTCGTCGCTCTTGCTATCGGTGTCACCCAGCTTACGCAACTCATCCTTGGTGTTGGTATAGTCGTTCAGAAGCTTAAACTTCTTTGCAGAGAATGCAGCTTTCACATTGCAGATTAATTCTTGGTCCATGGGTTGGATTAATGACGTACTGTTGGGAGGAAGGAAGACCACTTTTACGTTGGGGTGACGATCCAACAGTAGGGGCGAGTGTCCTGGTGCGTTGTCAAGCAGCAACAAAATCTTGAATGGAACATTCTGTTGCTCACAAAATTTCTTCACGTCGAGAACGAAACAGTCATCAAACCAGGAGAGGGACAGAGTAGAGAACATCCGCGCCTTATGTGCAGTCAGCCGGTGGACATTTAGCTTGGTCATGTCCATGTTCTTGTAGGCGTGTGAGCTGTGTGGATCACCGATAACTTGAGTTTACAGGAACCGGAGGCATTGGTGGTAAAGAGGACGGTGATGCGCTCCTTCTGCAAGTTCCGGCCCCGACACTTGCTGGCAGACTTGACAACGAAGGTCTTGGAAGGTAGCTTTTTCCAAAACAGACCGGATTCGTCTATGTTGAACATCTAGTTGTCGGTGTACTGTCCTTCCTCCATAATCTCACGTAAGAACGGAGGAAAATCCCTAGCTGCAACACGGTCAGCACTCGTTTCTTCACCACCAATGATAATGTTGGTGATCTTGTTCCTCTTCTTAAACCTGTGCAACCACCCAGAAGAAGCATTGAAGGGTTTGGGCTCTGTAATTCCCATCTTTCGTGACACTGCTACGTACAGTTCACGTGCATACTCCTGAACTGAGCACGTGTCGACCGCCATGTTCCGTCTTGCCTGACGAATCAAGTAGCTCACAAGTAACTTCTCCGTCTTGAGACGCACCTTGTTGTGGCAATACTTGATCATTGAAGCACCTGCAGACTTTGTGATGTTCGTGTTCTTTTATCTTGGCTGCATCCTTCTTTATCGTCCGGATCGTAGATTCGTTCACACCATGCTGGCGTGCCAAATCAACCTGTCTTGTTCCTTTCTCCAACTCTCGGATGATCTTGTACTTCACCTCGTAGCTTAGGGCACGTCGTATCTTCTTTGGCTTAGGGAGGCTGGGTCCAGGTAATGCAAGGTTTTTCTGTGGTGGTGGTGGTCCGGTGGCAGCCATTCTTATGGAACAATAGATACCGGTATACACGGTGTGGCCGGGAGGGGTGTAACTGACGCAGGTAGGTCAAGGGGCTTCATCTCTCCCGCAGCAGGCCACGTCATATTACATTAAACCAATCACAGCTAGCAGGGAGGGAGGTAAGGATGCGTGGCCCAATCACAGTCCGATACGTCATATGACGTCACCGATAACGCAACAAAGACATACACTGCGCAATCTACTCGAGCCGCTTACCCAACATGGCGGGATGGTGGGAGGTTTGAATTAAAAAATAGCGCGGCGCGAGATGACCGCCAGCCGCTCTCCACGTATATGAGAAGATGCACCGCGTAAAGCGGGAATTCTGGTTCTGGCGGGGTACCGAGTAAATGTAGAAACACGTAAAACTGAAATGCGTAAAGCGGGGTATTACTGTGTATGTATATATATATATATATATATATATATATATATATATATATATATATATATATATATATATATATATATATATATATATATATATATATATATATATATATATATGAGTGAGAGAGAGAGAGAGAGAGAGAGACTCACCAATGACAATTTCACCGCGAGGTTTTGGTCTATCAGTGATCCTGTAGTTTCCTTCTTCCCAGTTGACAAGTTTTACATCACACACCTGCAGGGGAGCACCAACCCTGCCAGTAGACATGTCATTCTGGTCCATTAGTGTTGCACATCCACAAGACTCTGTCAATCCATAACCCTGCAAAGAAAAAAAATTGTATCATCAGTAACACTTAATCTCCAGAGTAGGAATGAATTACAGCAAGTGTAGGAAGAGTCTTGAGTTGTTGACTATTACCAAACTTATGTTATAGCAGGCAAGATCTCTTGGGATAAGACCTGGGAAAATGCTGAGGGCAAGTTACAAGGAAATGATTTTTACAACCACATCAGACATATAAAAACATGCAAGTAACAAACACAAACAAATATATTGGGAAATACCTGTACACGTAAAATATGTCTAATAATAGGTAAATTAGTGTTCATACTCATGTTGTGGGGATCTACCAAGTTTTACTCCAAATTTCAAAATTTAGTGAGGTTGACAACCCTTTATCCGAAATTCCAAAAACCGAAAACCTCTGAAAACCTAAAGTTTTTTTGTGGGGCATTTTTTTTTTTTTTTTATAAACAGGGATTAGCCCACCCGGGCACAGAACACTGACCCACATTGGGGCCGGGGGGGAATGTAATAATAATTGTAATAATCATAATAATAAAAATAATAATAATAATAATAAAAATAAAAATAATAATAATAATAATAATAATAATAATAATAATAATAATAGTAATAAAGAAATACAAGAATGAAAAAAAGATCAAAAGTGAGAAACACGACCTAGACCTACCGGGTAAGAATTATTATTATTATAATTATTATATTTCAGCCCCTCAGGCCCAATGTAGGTCAGTGACCTGTGCCCGGGTGGGCTGATCCCTAAGAAAGAAAGAAAAAAAAAAAAAAAAAAAAAAAAAAAAAAAAAAAAAAAAAAAAAAAAAAAAAAAAAAAAATCTGAAATCCGAAAAATTTTCAAATCCGAAATGCATCTGGGCCCCAAGGATTTTGGATAAGGGATTGTCAACCAGTGTATTTTTTTCATATATGTAAAAATCCAGCACTATTCATACTAAATTTCAGTCCCATTAGGTTCTTGTGATCAAAATCTTATCTCTGTTATATCAAACTGGGCGTGTCCACCTCCCCCACTCCTCTCTAAACGCTAACTATGGCAATTCTTCACAGGGACAAGTGGAATTTTAATAGAAAAAAAAAAAGAAAATCTCACCGAACTAATTCTTCTTCCAGTACATCTTTCTGGTCCTTCACAAAAAATAAAATAAAATATCTGTAATAACTAATGCACTCTCTCTTTTGCTCATATTTTCTGACCAGATAACTTTATAGCCAGCACTCCCTCTGATAAAATCAATCTCTCTGGCACCTTATTTTCCTCTAACTCCACCTTAGACAATTCCAACGTTACCCCTCCTAATGTATCTATATACTTTCCTATAATCTCCAATCGTAGGGTTGCTGGTGTGTTATCCAATCTGGATGCGAATAATGTGCATAGACGGAATACCCCTGTAGGGTTCGTGATATTATGTTGTCTAGCACTCAGGATGGGATTGATGGAAACTCTAGGTGGTGGTTTTCTTATATAAAATATATTATATGAAAGACAGTCTGGTGCTGGAGATGCCGTGCGGTGAGAAGCTTGTGGTGAGAGACACGTTCAGTGAGTAGCATGCTTGAGGTATCAGTGTAGGAGCTTCGTTAGAGGAGATGTTGCGTGTTGCTGTCCTCCATGTTGAATGAGGGCTGGACAGCGAGGAGCTTGCTTGGAGGAGGTGTTGCATGTTCAGGAACGTAGGCCAGAATGAATCTCAGTTGAGAGAATTTGAGCTTATATACACAGCAGCCAGACGTAAACCCGTGGGAACTCGCCGGTTTCTTGACTCCGTTGCTAGGCTAGACGTAGCAGGTGGCGATCCCCCCCCCCATGTTGCTAGGATACGGTAGCAGCTGGTGACGCCCCAGGCCGCTCGTTTGGTTGCTAAGATACTGTCGCATTGGAATGCGGATGTAGTTTGTAGGGGAGAGGTCCACTACACCCCCTCATGTTTTGAGGGAGTGTGCTGACGTTCTACCCCTGTGCTTGCTTGCCTCTTTTGCCTTTGCCCCATTTTTATTTATGTACAAAGAAATGTATATTCCTTTCATGTGTTTGCCCTTAGGACAATTATTTCTTTTACCTGTATTGTATATATGTATGTGTGTGTATAAACACACACATACATATTTACAATACAGGTAAAGGAAATTACTGTCTCTAGAACGAATGGCTCCCTGTCCCAGCCGCGAAAATGCCGGCAACTTTAAAATTACTCACAGACATTCTTGGGTACATCCAGAGTGTCATCTTCGAATAATAGAGGACCACAAAATAAATATCCACAATTTTGGGGGTCCCCTGTACTTTACTTTCTTCTAGGTTTCCATCCTCTTACAATGTCTCACTTAAAAGAGCAGGTTTTCTGGCATCTTCGTGGTGTAGATTAACACAATGTATTCTCTTTCAACTTTTTTTTTCTGCTCTCCCAGGAATTGTTGTGGTTCGTTGACCTATTCCCAGCTCAGCTATTCCCAATTAAAAATAAATACAGTGGGGTATGCTATAACGAATCTAATTGGTTCTAGAACCTCGTTCGTTATAGCATTCGTTCGTTACAGGATTAATCCGTTTCAGGCCCCCAAATACAACCACTTAACACTGAAAAAATTCTGTGGAAAATGTAAAAAATACGGTACTTTATCTTACCTTAGTGTTGTTCAGCATGCAGGACAGGAGGCAGAGGGGGAGGGGGGGAGGAGAGAATTATGAAGAAGAGGTGGAAGGAGAGGAGTCATCCTTCCTAGCCCTCTTTGGTGATTGTCTCACAGGCTCTTTGTCTGTAGGTACTTTTGTTACCTTTTTAAAGAAGGAATCCAGGGTTGGCTGCTTCAACCTTGATTTCTGGACCTTCCAAAAGTAGTTCATAACATTGTCATTAAACACACTGATGGCCTTTTGCACAGAACCAACATCAGGATGATAATCCTCAGCAAGTTTGGACAGTTTGCTCCAGCAAAAGAACGCATCCTTGAGATCTTTGGCTGGAATGATGCGGCTTTCCTCCTTGTCCTCCTCCTCCCCTGACTCCTCAGAAGTTAAGCTCTGCTTCAGTGTCTCGTTTTGTTCTTTGTGAAGCTCAAGCAGCTCCTCAGTGGACAGTTCCTTACTGTGCTCTTCCACCAACTCCTCAACATCATCATCATCATCATCCACTTCCAGGCCCATGGAATTGCCCAGACACACAATTTCATGAACAACAGCCTCTTCTTCTAACTCTTAAAAGCCTTCAAAGTCTCTTTGAAGCACACATTCAGGCCACAATGGCCTCCAGGCAGCACAAAGACACCTCACAGTAACCTCTTTCCAGGCTGAGGTAATTAAAAAAAGAACGTTTGCTATATTGAAGTGACTCTTCCAAAATTCCTTCAAACTAACATCACTGGAAGAAGTGGAAGCAAAAATATTTTCTAAACAGTGCCTTTGTGTACAGTTTCTTAAAGTTAGAAATTACCTGTTGATCCATGGGCTGGATGAGAGGTGTTGTGTTGGGTGGCAAGAAGTGCACAGTGATGAAGTTGAACTCCTCTGGCAATTCAACCATCAAATTAGGAAGGTGGGCTGGTGCATTGTCCATCACCAACAAAGCTTTCAGTGGAGGATTATTCCCCCTGAGGTATTCCCGAACACTGGGTCCAAACACCTCAATCACCCACTTGGAGAATAAATTTCTGGTCACCCAAGCCTTTGGGTTTGACCGCCACATAACACCAAGGTGGGTCTTCCTAATGTTTTTGAAAGCTCTGGGGTTTTCTGCATGGTACACAAGGAGTGGCTTTATTTTGCAGTCACCAGAAGCATTAGCACAAAGAAGGAGGGTAAGCCTGTCTTTCATTGGCTTATGGCCAGAGACAGAAGTTTCCTCGGTAATTATGTACGGCAAGGCATTTTTTCCAAAAAGGTCCAGTTTCATCACAGTTGAATACCTGCTGAGAAACAAAGCCTCCCTCTTTAATCACATTCAAAAAAATGTCATGGTGTTCCTTAGCTGCTTCCTTATCTGCACTAGCAGCATCACCATGTCTCACAACATTATGTGATTTATTTCTCCTTCTGAAACCAGTAAACCACCCCTTGGTACCCCTAAACACTGGCACATCACTATCACTTGTACTGGGAGTCTTGGCTTTAAGGTCCTCAAACAATTGTCTGGCCTTCTCACAAATTATAGCTTCACTAATGCTATCACCTGCCATTTCTTTCTCCTTTATCCACACTAGGAGTAAATTTTCCATCTCCTCAATCACATTACACCTTGCTTTGCTAAGTTTCAAGATTCCCTTAGCCACTTGCACAGTTTTTAACTCCTCTTTATTCTTTAAAATCGTACATATAGTCGATTTAGCCATCCCATACTCATCACTAAGTTTCGCAATGCTTGTTCCATCCTCACGTTTCTTTATGATTTCTTTCTTAGTTTCAAGAGTTATGAGCTTTCCCACTCGCTTTGGACGATTCATTGTTACAATTCTACACTTGCATAACAAAATATTTATACAAATAACTCTATTTCCACATCAAAAGACGAAATTTCAACAATAACAGTGGTGCACTGGCTACACAATGAGACAAAGACGCTCTTGTTGTGAGCCACTGTACAGTGAGTTCTGCTATAACGCGTGTTTTGATAACGCGAATTTGCTCTAACGCGATTTATGAATTAGGAACGATATTTGTATAACGCGAACGCTTGTTTGATATAACGCGATTTTTGCTTACTATTTCTCCAATTTTGTGGTACAGTGGGGTATGCTATAACGAATCTAATTGGTTCTAGAACCTTGTTCGTTATAGCATTCGTTCGTTATAGGATTAATCCGTTCCAGGCCCCCAAATACAACCACTTAACACTGAAAAATATAATATAAAATTGTAAAAATTGTAAAAAAGTGCATAAATATGTATCTAAACCCCTGAAATAAAGAATATCATTAATATTTGTAATAAAAAAACAATAAATTAGAAGAAAAAAAATTAAATAATGTTCGTTGTAGGAGTTTCGTTCGTTATAGCATTCTCAATTTTATAGGTAAAACCGTTCGTTATAGGAATATTCGTAGTAGGATCCGTTCGTTATAGCATACCCCACGTATTAACTGTGAATATAGTAAAGAAGAATATCAACAAGAAGCGTTCTGGTGATAGAATTCCCGGTGATGATCGTAAAAGAGAGGATATAACACTTGAAGAGAAGCTCGATTTTATCAACCTCAAAATCACCCTTCTCCCCCATCAAGTAAAGTGTTACATTTACTGTATGATTTCATTATTAGATATTAATGTAACATTTATTTAGACTGTGCTATCCTTTGTGTTAGGCTAACTACTAAATTTTTTCGATTTCGAGTAATCTGCACCTAACCCTATTTTCTCCATAAGCCCTGTTATTTCTATTACGCGATTTTCTATAACACGATATTTTACAAGAACACAATTATCGCGTTATAGCAGAACTACCTGTACAACAATATTCATGCGCCAGACGAAATAGTCCCGTATTCATCCGCGTTCGTTGTAGGAGTTGCGTTCGTTATAGCATTCTCAATTTTATAGGTAAAAACGTTCGTTATAGGAATATTCGTAGTAGGATCCGTTCGTTATAGCATACTCCACTGTAAATAAATAAACTCTTAAGTTCTTAGCCAGCAAATTTCAAAATATAAATCACAAATTGGGATAAATCACCTGCTTGGGCCAGATGTGTGACCCTACCAAACATGGCAGATTTTCTCCAGGCGCTCTGGTTTCCCGCTGTACTAACATTGGACAATGAAGGTTGAAACAAAGAACTGACTGACTGCCGAAATGGCTAGTAAGCTAATAAGATATACATGTAATATGATTAATTATACTATGCTTAGGATAGGAGATAAGCTACAAGATAAGAATAAAAGCAAGAAGGAAGACAATACCAACCTGCAGTACTGGCGCACCAAGACTAGCACGCACAAAATTATGAGTATCGGGTGAGAGTGGAGCTCCTCCCACAGCCACTAAGCGCAACCTTCCACCTAATAACAAACGGATCTTCCTGAACACAAACCTGCATGAAGAGAGAAACAATTCATCATACTATACACAAATTGCTGATTATCATATAATAATTAATATACAATGCAGGCATACCCCATTAACTGATGCATATAGGGACTGGGAAAAGTTGTTGGGTAGTGACTCATTAGTTATTGAAGCAATTAATCCCATAAGAACATGACAATTTCAGGGGGTAGGGGACCGGCCATCCTTCCAAAACTCTTGATATATCTTTGTCATGCACAGTGACAAACAAGAAAATAAAGCAGACTTATAAAACAAGCATAATAAGCCATAAATAAGCAATGTAAAGCATAAAATGAGACTGTTATTTACCTGTGTTGAGGATGGTAAAGACATTCTAGGGTGGCAAGTTCAAGTCTCTACCAACCTTTGTTGGTCCTTCACTACTCTTATTATGCCTTATCACATCACACCAAGTTGCCAAGTACAAGAGGAAATATAACTGGGGCATTTAGCCATGAATGAGTAACACAAAGTCAGAAAAAAAAAACACGAAGTCAGAGACATAGTAAATGTAAATAAGAGCAAAGTTGGTGGGAATGAGTCAGAGGCAATATACAGAGAGCCTTCTAGTGGCAAGAATTCGCATCACACCAGCTCTGCCAATTGTCGAATCTCTGGGGTATCAACGAAACTCGTGGGGTATTTCCCCTAATGTAATTGCTAGTTATGCGAATTGGCTGCGCTCAGAAGGCATCATCGAACTAAGCTTATCACCCTGGCGTGCTCAAGTTGTAATTGTTAAGATAACCTTCCGCGTCACAAGAAGGCTATGCATTGAATATTCCCAGACCATTAATCAGTACACTGAGCTAGATGCTTATCCATTACTTTGCAAAGATGTTATTGTTAATGATCTTGCTAATTACAGGGGCTCCCCTACTTATGAGCTGGTTAGGTTCCTGAGGTCTGTTCGAAAGTCCATTTGTTCTTAAGTCCAACATTACTTTTGTCAATATTGAATACTGCATACAACATTGTAAAAAAAGGTTGTACAGACAGCTATACCCCAATAATACTTGACAGTATTTCTTACCAGCCTTAAACAGTATTTGAATGTATAAATAGCATGGATAGTAATAATAGCATGTATAGTAATAATAAATAAAGGTATACATAAGGTTACTGTACTTACTTTATTCCTGGTGCTGCCTTGCTTGCTGGGACTGATGTTGCTTGCCGGGGTGTTGGAGTTAGTTGGAGGATGGAGATGAGGGTGGAGATGGAGGATCAACAAGGTCTGAGGTACAGGCATCTGGTTCTGGGGCATTGGGAATGGCTTTAAAGGTTGTATAACCTCTTGTAGATGTAGATGGCATTGGTTCTTGATGTTCCGCGGATTATAATTTCTCTTGCTCCTTCTGTCCCATCTCAACTCTCATGAAAAACTTATCAAGAGATGTCTGCACAGTTAATCTCTTCTTTTCTTCATAAATTATCTTGTAGCAGGCAATAGCATCGTGAACAGCTGCAGACACTTTTGTAAATATTTCAATTTTTTTTTTTTTTTTACAGGAATTAGCCCACCCAGGCACAGGTCAAAAGACCCACAACTGGGTCCTGAGACTCAAAAGAAGCAGCCAACTGCTTAGAGTTGAACTTTTGGGGTTCCTCAGCCTCCTGTTCCTCCTCAGGGACCTCCTCCTGGACCCTGAGTGACTCCAGCTCCATCAAATCTTCGTTGGTCAGCTCCTGAGTGTGGCATTCCAACAATTCGTGGACATCATCTTCCTCCATTTCCAAACACAGTTGCTTGCCCAGTTCCACTAGGTTGTTGGCCGCTGAATTCACATTCTCTGTAAATCCCTTGAAGTCATTGGCAAATTGTGGGCCGAGTTTCTTCCAAACACAATTCATGTTGGAAATCTTGACCTCATGCCAAGGAAGCATCAATGTTCTTAATGGCCTTGTAGATGTTGTAGTTCTTCTAGAAGTCTCAGTGTCACTCCACTTTCCTCTTCTGTCCCCTTCACAGCCTGTGTGAAAGTTCTCTACAGGTAGTATGCTTTAAAACTTGCTATGACACCTTGGTCCATAGGCTGCAGGACAGAGGTGGTATTGGGAGGCAAGTACACCACCTTGATGTTGGCGTGGAAATCCTCCAGGAATGATGGATGACCAGGGGCATTACCTAGCACAAGCAGGATCTTGAAGGGCAGGTTTTTGTTGTTGCAGGAAGTGAAGCTTTGACAACACCCTTGAGGACCCTGGGGTTTTCGGAATGATACACTAACAAAGGTTTTAGTTTGCAGTCACCAGCAGCATTTCCACCAGAGCAGGAGTGCAAGTCTATCCTCCAATGCCTTAAAACCAGGCATAGTCTTCTCTTCTTTGGCGATGTATGTACAATCAGGCATTTTTTCCAGTATAAACCGGTCTCATCCACATTAAACACCTGCTCTGGTAGGTAACCCCCGTCATCAATAATTTCCGACAAAAGCTTAGGAAACTCCAAGGCTGCTACCATGTCAGCAATGGCAGCCTCACCACTCACTCTTATGTTGCGCAGGTTTGAACGAGCCTTAAACCTGTGGAACCAACCATGGCTTGCAGTAAATGTTTCTTCAGCAACACTCTCACCATGTTTAGCCGTTACGTTTTCAAAGAGACTTATGGCCTTCCGCTGAATTAAGTTAAGCTTATAGGCATGCGGTGCTGATGCTGGTCTTCCAGCCACACTCAAAAGTTTTTCCATCTCTGAGATCACCGAACCTCTTTTCTTACTAATGATCGTGGAATGCATTGGCACAGAACCTTTCACATGTTGCATAATGCGCTCTTTGTCCTTCAAAATTGTCCCAACAGTCGAACGTTTCATCCCAACAGCATTTGCTATGCTTATCATTTTCTCACCTCTTTCACAACGCTTTATAAAGCCCACCTTAGTTTCCAACGTAATAGTGCGACGCTTTTTACAACCACCATCACCACTGGTGTCACTCTTACGCTTCTGAGACATGTTGGGGTCAATAATATTCGTTAAAACCACAAATACAGTAAAACCTCGATTAACCGCCCACATATGGGGGGAAGGGGCCGACGGACAATCCGAAAGGTCGATTAATAGTAAATAAAGTCTTCGGAAATAAAACATATATTTTCTATGTACCTATCCCTAACCTACCTCATTTAAGTCCCTCTATTCATTTTTGTTCATTTGCCATTCATATTTCAATAGAATTTGCTTTAAAACATTAACCACTTTAGTAAATAAATATGAACCAGCACAGAAACTGTGAATAAAAAATTTTAAAGTCAAAGAACCATGTCATCACAAAAATTGTGACCAAGTCCCAGGTTGCTGATCTGACTTTCTACCTCATTTACACACAATTGCAGGGTCTCAATTATTTCTCTTACTATTGACAACACAGCATACATATAGGTATATTGCTTCTCACTCTTGATTTTTTTTTTTCATTTTTGCATTTCTTTATGGTTCTTTATTATTATTAATATTATTACAGTGAACCCTCATTTTACGCGGTTAATTCAACCCAAGGCGGCCCGCGTAAAGTGAGAAACGAGTAAAGTGAACACATAACATATGGGATTAATTGAAATAGAGACCGGGCCGACCCCCAAACTCCACTTTTTCAGACACAATACCTACGTTGTAGTAAAAATAACTTCTTAATTTTATGATGGTATGCACACACAATTAATAATTAAGAGAAATATCAATAATAATAGGTTTTTTAACACTTACATTAGTAGAAAAGATGGCTGGGCACACGGGGATGGGGGGTTGGTTCCGAGGCAGAGGGCAGATTATTGGCCCTCATCTGTATCACTTGTATCAATTGTATCACTATCCACCACAGAGGCTTGCAGGGCCTCTTTGTCAAACCCCTCAAAGTCCACATAAGTCCATATCCTCACTATAATTATCACTATCACTGACTTGGGCAGGCTGTGGTGGGTGGTGGGTGAAGAACTCAGTAATGTTTTGATGACTGGGCGACCTTGTGCGCACCCTGCTCACGCAGCTTACACAGCATGGCGGATGGCGGGAGGTTTGGATCCAAAAATGGCGCAGCTCGCCAGCCGCTCTCCGCGTAAAGGGGTACACGCACCGCGGAATGTGAGCATTCCGGTTTCGGCAGGGTACCGCGTAAACGTGGAAATGCGGAATGTGGGACCGCGTAGAGCGAGGGTTGACTGTATTAATATTAATATTATTATTATTACATTATCGCCCCCCCCAAGCCCCGATGTGGGTCAGTGACCTGTGCCCGGGTGGGCTAATCCCGGTAAAAAAAAAAAAATAAAATAAATAAATAAATAAATAAATAAGTAGGGGTCCGGGATCAGCGGTTAATCCGAAAGTCGGTTAATCGAGGTTTTACTGTAACCACAAATAACACCGTGAGGCAGCAGAGGAACACAACACCAACATTGGCGCTGGGGATACAGGGTGACGCAGAACAGCCAACGCCATCTATCGCGTGGCGGTTGAACTTACGACTCAGCGCGGTTTTCAAACAGGCAATTGGGCAATTGAACATACGGACAGGTTTGTTCGTATCTCTGAAAGTTCGTAACTTGAATGTTCGTAAGTAGGGGAGCTCCTGTACAAGGTGTTTTCTACTTTGATCTGAAAAGTGCCTATCATCAAGTGCCTCTGAAGGAATCTGACAGGATGTATACTGCATTTGAGGCAAATGGAAGACTGCACCAGTTTTGTCGGATCCCATTTGGAGTAACAAACAGTGTTGCTGCATTCCAATGAGAAATGGACAAACTAGTTGAGTCAGAAAACTTGAAAGACACCTTTCCTTATCTTGATAATATAACCATAGCAGGCCATGACCAAAAAAAGCATGATGAAAATCTCCAAAAGTTCTTTGACGTTGTGAGCCGTCAAAATTTAACTTCAAAATGAATCCAAGTCGATCAGATCTGTGAAAACAATCAATATTCTTGGCTACTGGGTTGGGAACGGCACCTTCAAACCTGATCCAGAGAGACTTCTTCCTCTTCAAG